AATGTGGAACAAAACTCAAAATCTTTTGGAGAAAAAAAGAAGAGGGGGGACCAGGTTTGCTGGTCCAATAGAGCCTGGTGGAACCACTGAGACTATGGCCCCTAGCTGGCTTTCAGGTCTGGGATTGAACCCACACCTGTGGTTTCCAGCCAAACAAAAGACAGGTGTGAGTTGAACATTTACCTCAGGTGGATACACTCCTTGGCGAGAACAATCATGTGAGAAAGAAGGGCTGCTTATGCACAGGGAGACAGCTCGGGGCAGGAGTGCATGGAGGGATGGACACAGGGAAGAGAACTATCGGGAGGAAGTATGAGGGGAGCTGTTGCATTGTGGTAAACTGTGGTCGATGTCATGAGACAAAGTGTAGGTGAACTGCTGTATGGAAAGTGAATTTGCTCTGTAAATCTTCACCCAAATCACAATTAAAAAAAAAGAAAAAGTCAATGTTTCAGATTGACTTTTGATGCTTTTCCAACTAAATTAACAGAGTGAAGTTAGAAACATTCTAACAAACTTATAGCATAATTCTAAAAGGCTTAAAATTTTAGGATTTTATTATTTCTGAACATTTGATAGGTATATCTACTCATGCAATTTACGGACTTTTGAATAGTCAACAGATCAAAACAGTCTGTTGAATGTTTGGTGAAGAGTTCACATTAGCAGTGGAATAGATTAGATGAAATATAATTGGTGAAAATAAAACTGAAAGAGAAAAGACAATCATGGGTTGGAGTAGACTTAAGGAGTAGAACCTTAGGACTCCCATCAGTCCTTAGGCTTACTTTCTAAAGGAGAATTTTCATGTCAGTCCATCTAATTAACCATGTCTCTTTCAATGCAGGTATCAGCACAATTAAGGTTAACATTCGTCATGCCAATTCCCTGGGAGGAGGCTTCCACTGCTGGACCTGTGACATCCGCCGCAGAGGCACCCTGCAGTCCTACTTTGACTGACCAGGCCTGATGGGTCTTGGGGCTTGTTCTCAAATAAACCTAGAAGCTTAGGGACAGGGTTCATTCTTCCGCTTTAAAAAGTGCATGAACTGTAGTGCTTTAAACAATCATATCCTTAACAAGGGTCTTTCCAAACCAACTAAACCCACCACTGCCGAATGATTCTGACTCATAGTGACCCAGTAAGATGGATTAGAACTGGCCCATTGGGTTTCCAAGACTGTACATCTCTAGGGAAGCAGACTACCACATCTTTCCCCCGAAGAGTGGCTAGTGGGTTTGAATCATGGACCTTTTGGTCAGCAGCCGAGTGCTTTAACCACTGTGCCACCAGGGCTCCTAACAGGGGTCTTAAGCCTGATTTATTTTTATTACTTTTCTTTGGCATAAGGAAAATAACTTGTGTTAGGTCTTACTCTCCACCTCTAAAGATATATACTACTTGGCTTCAAGTATAAGAATTTGATGAGTATATACCAAGACAAAAAATTAGTCACTTGAGTAAGTTGGCCACTAATACTTAACCATCTACCTCTGTTTTTTAATTTTTTTTTCCAAAAGGCAGCTTGAAATGTTGGTTCTAATCTTATTTTTTCTTCCTGTTTGGTAGAGTTGTGAATGTTTGTAGTACTTCTTTTTTCTCAAGGAACGAAAGACTTAGAACATACACAGATCTTAAGTGGCATCAGATAATTGTCTCCTTTTCTAATAAGAAATTTTGGTGATTTTTAATTTTTGTTTTTTAAAAAATAACCTAGATATACAAACACTTAAGTGAATTTTCCATGAATGTTTTTAATATTCTCATCTCAACATTGGTGATATTTGCTACTAAAAACCTTTTCATACAGCTTACCTCATTTCAAGTGAACTGTTTTAATCTATTCTCTTTCCAAAATCCTACAGAAAATATTTAGTGCAATAGGCTATAACGGTTAGCTCCCATCCCTAAATTTTGATGTTTAATATCTCATAGGTACATTGCATCGTTGGTAATCTAAGATTTGTTTACAAGACGTGCAAATTATTTAAAGCATAGACTATAAAAAGCATTAAAAAAAACTAACGGAGATGTGATATGAAATAGTTTTCATTTCGATACTATATGTGTATTTTTATTCTAATAAACACTTTTGTGTTCCACATTGGATTTTCTTATCAGTCTTATTTTAAGTATAAGTAAATTTTAGGAATGTAGTTCTTGGGACAAACTTCTGTGCTCTGAAATAATCAACATCTCTATCCCTAGAAGATAAAAATTTAAACCTAATACTTGTATTCAGAAATATTTAGCAGAGTGAGATTTTAGTTTATTCATTCATTCATTCAAAAATATTTTAATATCTTTTGAGTGTAAGGAACTTTTCCTAGGCCCCAGAAGGAAAAAGATATCTCTGTTCTCAAATTGCTGAATGTTTTGACTCATGAAAAATGAGGGTGGAATGTGTACTTTGAAATGAGTCATAGGTTCAGCCACTCCCTTGCCAGTACCTTTAACTCTTTTATGTCCTTTTTCATCCACCAGGGAAATAATTACCAGTCCTGACACTTGCACTGAATCCGGTTTAAGAAATGTATACAATTGTATGAATTGACACACACTGTAAATAAAACAAAAGCAGTCCACTGACATCAAGCTGATTTCTGACTCATAGTGATCCTGTAGTGCAGAATAGAACTGCCAAATAGAATTTCCAAGACTGTAAGTCTTTGCAGAAGCAAACTGCCTCATCTTTCTCCCAGTGGAGCAGCTGGTGGGTTTGAACCGCTGACCTTTTGGTTAGCAGCTAGATGCCTTACCTGTTGAACCAGCAGCCTCCCCAGACCTAAATACCATCTGTGATTATATTACACACCCTTTTCCCATTCTCAGTAGCTCTTCCAAACTTTTACTGTGTTCTCTGGGCTGATCACAGAGAAAACAGAGGCCATCAAGTGTCGGTTCCCTCAGCTTTTCTGCTCCAGTCAGCTGTAGGTTTCTCTTTATTTGCAATTGCTCATTAAGTTTCCCCTTCGCCTTCCCTTTACCAGCTAAGCATCTAAAAGTCATGCCTTCATCTCATCAATTGCATTTACTTTCAACTTACTATACAAGGATATGTCTCTTACTGCTTCAGAAAAAGAGATGACTCTTCTGACCCAGTCTAACTACACTTCTGGCCTCTGATCCTAATCTTTCCTTTTTCAGGGCCTTGCTACACCAATTATCTTTCTTGTAACTTTGGCCTCTGTGTATATGTGTGTTTGCTTTTCCCTTAGCAAATAGTCATGCAAGCTTCCAGAAAAAAATACATTTACTGTTTCCATTTTCTCATTTTTTATTTATTCTTCAATCTCCTACTATCTGATTTCTACATCACCACTCCACTGAAGTATACTAATGGTACTCTGACCTTCTACGTGTTATTTCCAGCCACTCTTCAGGTCTTATTTAATCTGTTTTCTGTGTGTGACACTACTGACCAATCCTTTGAATGCTCTCCTCATTTGGGTTTCTATGATACCACTTTCTCCCTTCTTTTAAATTTTCAAGGTCCTTCGCTGTATTGTCTTTTTCTTGCCCTTAAGAGTTGGACATTTGCAGGTTTCTGTCATTGAACCTTTTCTCCTCTTATAGATACTCTGGATGATTGCATCTATGTGCTGGTCTTCCCTTCCCACATACCCACTGAAAACTCAACGGTGGGTATATGGGAAAGGAGGCCCCATATATGGACCTTTCTAGTGTAGACGTACATTCTGAGCTTCAGGTCCTCTTCCCAACTATGACCATTATTTGGGAGTGCGAAGGTATCACTGACTCAACACAGTGATCATGATTCCGTCAGCCAAGCTATTCTAGATTCTTCCCTCCTCATCTCATCTTACTCCTTCCATTGGCTTTTTACTTTGTTATTAAATACGAATTATTTCAACAAAGGTAATACAATTGAGTGATTTAATAAAATCTATGTTTAAATCCTATGACCACCACTTTGGGGTATGTTTTAGGGTTGTGGACGGAAACATAAGCAGCCCAGCCTCCATGACCCAAATGCTTTCCTATTTTGTGGTTCAGGCTGTTGTGACACAAAAAGGTTTCCTTTTCATTTCATTGTCAAGCACTCCTGCAGCCCAGTCAGTGTCTTCTCTGTGATCTTTAGCAAACAGAAGGACCACCATCTGCCACTACAGATGTCAGGTTTCTCAGTCACACACCAAGGATTTGGGATTATCACTCAAGGGTACACCAAAGTCCTTTGTAACTCACTATCTAGATGAAGTGGTTATGCATATTAAGACATAATTCATTTTCACTAAAAATGAACTAAATTTCAAATAAAAATATCCAACTCATAGTAACCCCTCCTTGGGTTTCCGAGGCAGTATCACTATGGCAGTAGGTTGCCCAACCACCAGAGCTCCAAATATTGATGTTGTAGGGCAGGCCTAGTTCCTAGTAACAATCAAGCGTTTCCTTTCAACAATAGCCTTTTTAAAATAAAGCTCACAGATCTGACCACTATAGTGTGTCATCTTGTAGCCATATAGGAATACTACCCAAAAATTCAGGAGAATGTAAAAATACACTACTACCTCAGTTTTTTGGTCAACTTTTTGGACCCATAGGATCTTTTTTCAAAAATCAGAATAATATGAAAAGCAGATTCCCATCACCTGGTGCGCTAACAGTTAAACAGTGTTCAATTGTTAAAGAGGGCTCCTAGGACCCAAAAGGAGAATGTTTGTACATTGTTTTTGAAGGAAAAGGACACATAATATAGAAACAACAATAGAGTAAGGATACACAGTACCATCTAAGACTGCCTTACAGTAAAGTGTCCAGAGCAACTAGGCATGAGCTTCATTTGTTATCCCAATGTGAGAGCCATATAGATACACTTTCTCAGATGAGGAACCACTGATGTGTGTGTGGAATGCCTCAGAACCAAGGACACCAGCGTGGAGGTTCAATCTGTTTGTTTTTCCTAATAAGCTACTGGAAATGTAGGAATACTCTTGGTATAGAACTAGCTCCGATGGCAGAGCCCTTTGGGGATCTCATTGAGACGAGCTGTAATTCATCAGTCTCACTGATACCAATAAACAATGCCAATAAGCTTGCCCTGGGTCTCTACTTATACTGGAATTTATTATTTGCACATACATTGAAGATACTGACTGAAACTTTTAAAAACTAAGTAAAACTTCTCATATAAGTTTGTAAACAGCTTTAATGCTTTAATTGTCTACAAAAACAATTATCTCTGAGGTAGAAGGGGAAACTGATTTTGTTTTGGTTACCTAGTGCTGCTCTAACAGAAATGCCACAAATGGGATGGCTTGAACAAACAGGAGTTTATTCTCTTACAGTTTTTAGAGGCTAGAAGTCCGAGTTCAAAGTGCCAGGCTCTGCCTCCTGCTCCCAGCCTACTGAAGCTGGAGGTTTTTTTTTCACTCAGGCAGCTGCTGGCTGCTGAGGCTGACAAACCCAAAGTTGACAGGTAAAAAGGCACAGTCCTGATGTTACCAAACAACACGGTAGGCTGCTAATTCAAGTCCAGAAAAAGTCCCAAGATTGGCAAGGCATGGCAGGCTGTTGAACAACAACTTGGCTACATGCAGGGTTCAAGTGTGTCAAAAGGCTAGAGACCAGTCCCCAAGGCTTTGCCCCACATACAGGAAGCAGACCACATCCCTAAGGCAGCTACTCAGCTGCTCACAGTAGATTCCACATGGAGTTGATTATCAGTCTCATACTGGGGATTAGTACATCGAGCTGCCCAGACACTCACCCAGGCCCAGGCAAGTTGACACACACACTTAACTATCACAGATTTGGTCCCTGCTATGGATTGAATTGTATCCCCAAAATATGTTTTGTAAATGCTAACCCCTATACCTGTGACTGTAATCCCATTTGGGAATGGGTTTTCTTTGTTATGTTAAGAAGCCATATTAGTGTAGGATGTGTCTTAAGCCAATCACCTTCAAGACAGAAAAAAGAACAGATTAGGTAT